CAGAAGAAGAGTTAGTATCATTAATGAGGCGGAGTAAGTGTGTGTTGCTTTGCCAGCACTATCCTCAACCCTCTAAAACTTGTCCGCAAACACAACGGGCTGATAAGAGCTGAAAACGTCACACCCTTCAGCAAATTGGAGCATCAGTAAACACGCATTGTTTATCCAGCACCCATACACTTTATACACACACACTGTTATCTGAGTCGCTTCTGACTTTAAAACACAGTACTAATTTGATTTTAATGTTTCTACTTTGACCACATTCCTCCGCTGCCTTAAGAGGAATCGATTATGTTGTACCTGAATTCCCTAGCATGTGGTTTCCTTTTCTGCTACTTAAAATTGTTTGTGTTACTATTGTTTAGATTTGATTATTAATAAAGTAGTAATTAAAAAGAAAATAGAGGGGTAAACAGTCACAGAAGTGGGGGTCCACTTTTTAAGGGCTTCAATAGACCCCCCAAGAAAATAAGATTATAGGCTTTAACTTTTTCTTTTTCTTAGTTTTTTTGTAAATTTGACATACAGGGAATTGTGTGTGGGTAATAATACCAGAATTCAACCTCTGGATTTACCTAAAACATGACAAAATAGTGGGGTGGAAAAATACAATGTTTTTGCTGACAGCTGGGATTACACCAACCTCAGCTGAAGAAACCATGAGCCTGCTTGGGTGTGTCATCTCCTCAGGGGGGAAACTTTTCAGCACAAACCACTATGAGTAATCCTCGACGGGCATTTCAATTACAACAGTTCAATTTTTAATTAACCAACGTAGCTATTCGCGTTTAGAAACAAGTACAAACACGTAAAGCAAGTCAGCTATTTAACTTGAGTCCACACTAGCGCCAGAAGCTAACGCTGACCATCAACACAAAAGCTCATAAACACGGACTTTGGTAAACAATACTACCGTTTTTAAAAGCTTAACAACCGGCACCACGACGTTAGTTAGTACAAACACATCGACACATATCTGTTCGTAGCATTCATTAAAACACAAGGGAAGAAAATGAACGGGGGTGCCCGCAAATGAATGCTAATTCATGTCCACATCAGTGACGCTAAACAACAGACTGGCTGCTAACCTAGAGACTAATGTTAACCTTATGTTACAGCCATTAACCACACGCAAACACTTTTACACAGATATTCAAACAAGTTTAGATAGTTAAACCCTCAGACGAGTTCGGAGTTTATTTTTTGCATCTTTACGTTAAGCGGTCACCGTTGTGGGTCTCCTGGTCGCTCGTCCTTCCTTTAAAACAGGTGTGGTACTTTGTTACTCTCTAACGGGCCGCGTTAACAAACACCCGGTGGTTCGACTCCGTTAACAGGTTTGTGAAAGCCTTACCCGAAGCAGGGTTTGTATTTCTGCCCCTCGGTTGATGCTATCTTGATGACTGCATTAATAGAGCATTTCGAGGCATTGGTTCTCCAAAACGCAACACCGCTCCTGCAACAAAAGCCCCACCTTCCGGATGTGAAAACTACGGATGGCAGGATGTAACGTCATGGCCACCTCTCGTTCAGCCCGTCGTCCTTTACATGGATTTTTATTCTGGAATCGTTTACAAATATGAAAACTTCTTCTAAATGCAACCACTGACTCTTGATTAAAAGACAAAACATAATCAACCAAATAAAGGTCCAGGAATTCACACACAGGCACATATCTGTTAGAATAGAATAGAATATACTTTATTGTCCCCTAGGGGACATT